GGAGAGCTTGCCCTTAAAGGGGTTAGTGGGGCCCTGGCCCTCCCTCTTCTGCTCTTTGCTTCCTGACTGCCATGAAGTGCACAGGCTTCCTCCATCATGTTCCTGCCATGAGATACTGTGCCTTTGTAGGCCCAGAGCAGCAGAGTCAAGCAATCTGGACTGAAACAAACCTTTCTTCCTTTTAAATTGATTATCTCATGCATTCTGTCCCAGTGATGGAAAGCTGACCAACACACTCATCAGTTAGTCCAAAACATAAGTACTGTGGCAGTGGGCCATGACAGAGAAAAATTGCCACTTTATGACTAGAATCAGAGAGAATCAGAAAGACTGAGAGAAGTTATAGTTACAGCCTTCAGAGTCATCCTCCTGGTAACCTACTTCCTCTAGTCAGGCCCCATCTTCTTATAACACATTCAGCCATGTGCTCATCAATGGATCAGAGGGTAACACCGTCATGAGCTAATCGCCTTCTGAGAGTACCACCAAGAACATTGCTGCATTGGGAATCAAACCTTCAATAGATTCTTTGGGCAACATTTCATATTTACACCCAAACAATGGACCCATACTCCTAAAGACAGGTTTCTAGTTTTCCAGAATTATGATGCTCTATTTATCTCCAGTTTCTCATTCTGCAGGCTCTTAATTATCCTTGTAGGCATTCATATCTCAAATGCTCCTCCTCTGAGCCCTTATCTCTCTGGGTACAAAGGCAATGAATGCAGGTGATGGATGCAGAACGATATAAGCATTAATTTGGTATAAGTTATAAGGTGTAAGGTGTGGGATCACTATTCAATCCATTTCCTCCTTAAAAAATAACAAATTTGTATAAACTGCTGAGCTGTCTCCATGCAAATAAATTTAGAGAGACTTCATACCTACTTATTTTCTACTTCATTTGGCTTTAGGGAAAGAATTACTTTCACTGGACAGAAATGGAAATGGAAATAGGTTCTTTCTAGAAAGAACTGCATCTTTAATGGAAATGTCAGGAAGGAATGTAAGTTTATATATAAGCAGGATGTGCAGATGTAAGCTTTTTTTTTCTCAATCAAATGCAGCTATTTGATGGATTTCCAAAAACATATAAAAGCAAAGGAAAAACTATGAATTGAGAAGTAGTGACTTTCCAAGTTGAGAATAATCCCACAAAAGTCATTGATATTTAAAGTATTTTTTTTCCTTTAGGAAAAAAGCTAATTGCCGTTACTTGTCATTAGTCAAATTAGATAATAAGATATAATGTGTGTTTTAACATTTAATAAAGTGTCAGTCTAGTTTTGATTTGCCTACAGCAAACAATAACATATAGAATACTGTTGGGTCTAGTACACAAGTAAGTATATGTGTATATATTTAAAAATAAACAACAGAAGCAAACATTTGTGATAACTGCACACACTCAAGTGTAAGATATTATGATATTTCTCTTGTATTTTATATGCTGATTGTGGCCCCCTGAGTTGAATTCATGACCTGCGAGGGATGAAAACCCGCAGTGTAAGAATCATCTCTCTACACTGTATGAATTCTACACTGTATGAATGCCTTGCACAGTCTTTCCGCTAGAAGATCAAAAGCTCACTTGTACTTTCCTGCTTCACCAGGGGCTTCCATTGTGGGGGAGCTGCTACCAGAAATTGGAAATTACTTTTTCAAAAAGCTAATTTTCAAGAATTGGCCCCAATGCCTCCTCCTCCCTCCGTGGCTCTATGCCTTTCTAGCTAAGGCTTTTGCTAAGCAGCGGCTCTGTGTCAGGAACTACACTTTGCACTCAGATGCAGACAGGACCCAGCCGGGTTTCCCAGGAGATTATTTTCCCCACTGGACGTGTCTACATCTTCGAACCAGACCACACTGAGCATTGTTTTGGTGGACAGTATAAAGCAAGTCGAATTGTTCTGCATATAACAATCTTTCGTACATAAAACTTGTGCTTCTTTAGAATGTATTTTCATTTTTCTACACTTCCGCAGCATTTTCCTTGAAGACCATTTCTTCTTCCTCCAGTGGTTTCCCTTCCTACTTCACTGCCTTCTTCTCCTTTTTTAAATGGAAGCATAATCTACACACAGTGAAATAAACAGATTCTAAGGGACAATTGGATCAGTGTTGACAAATGTATGTAGATGGATGCCTAACCTAGAAATAAATGATACATTTCCCTAACCCCAGATTTTCATTCTGTCTTTTTTTAGTCAATATTCACACCTCTATGCTCTATTACACTCAGCCATTGATCTGCTATTATCACAAAATAATTTTATAAAATCTTCTTCTTAGCCCACCATTCAACCCTGCTCTTGTCTCCTGAGCTGGAAGATATTCAAATGTGTCAACATCTTTCTCAAAACTGGGTATTTCTAATGTGATATTAATCTAGAAGTGGTTTTAATAGTCAAACAAACCAATATAATGTTAAAATTTAGGGCAGGATCAGATATAACTGTTGATCATATGTAACTTGAAGTCTTGTAGAACAACTCAGAAAGAGTTGTTATGAAACAAAATTGTTACCTCTGTCTCTGTCTCTGTCTGTCTGTCTGTGTCTGTCTCTCTCTCCAGTCTGGACTACGTTCAGAGTTTACTTTTATATTTGCTGCAGTTTAATCTTTTTTGCTTTCATTATTCTATTAAATATTCAGTTAATTTAAAATTCTATGTTTTAAACTACTCCATGTTTTAAATATGGTCTCACTATGTAGTTCAGGTCGGCCTTAATCTCACTGTATAGCCCTGGCTGCCCTCAGACTTGTGGCAATCTGCTTGTCTCAGCCTCCTAAGTGCTGGTATCACAGATGAACACCATGCCCAGCTTACCTTTATTAAATATTGATGGAAATCCACATCAGGCCATGACGAAGCAAGGAGTCAGGCTGTTGACCTAACTCTGTATCCTAAGAGTCATCAGTTGGCACTGATTCTCTTTTAATACTGGGGTTTGATTCTTCCTAACCATTCTGATACACTGCTTCTGCTTCTTTATTTTGTCTCCAATAGTACTGATTATATATTTTCGAGGTATATGATTCTGTGTGAATTACATTTTCTTTTCTGTCTACACTTGCATTCTAGATAATCATCTTAAATATCATGCCTTAAAATATACCAGTATACTGATAGGGCCAAATTTATTGTTCCAGCTTAGACATCTCCTTTCAACTCAGATTAATCACATTTCCATCTAGAGGTATATAACAATCACCTCAAACCAATACATCTGTCTCAGTCTGTTTTTTTTTTTTTGCTACCATGAGACAAAACCAAAGAGTAGATAATGTACAAATAATAGAAATCTGTTTTTCATAGTTCCAACAGCTAAGAAGCCCAACATCAAGGTGCCAACAGTTTTGGTGTCTGCTCCCTCTTCCACAATGGAGCCTCACGGCTACATCGTTTGGAGGAGGAGTGCACTATGTCCTCACACGGTAGAAGAACATCCTCCTGACCTTGAGCCGTTTTATGAGTACTCATCATATCTGTGAAGGCAGAGGCTTTATAAATTAATCATCATACTGCTGCTTGGGGAACTGAATTTTGGCCTGAAAGAACATGTTTTTTCAATTTGTAAGAGAGTTAGTCTCCACTCCTCTCAGTCTATATACTCCAGAATTTCCCATTTTGTAAATAGTAAATTCACTCTTCCCATTATCCAGGTCATAATCCTTGGAGTCCTTTTCTGTCTGATCCTTTTCATGCAATCAAAAAGAAACTGTGTGGGCTCTTCTTGGAGAACACCAAGTATTTAGCCCCTAATACTCTGGGTCTGGACACCGTCATCCCTGTGTGGTTGGTTAGGATAACATCCTCATTTGTTCTTTTGCCTTTCATACTGTCTTCCTAACATCTATCCCCCACCTAGAAGGATATATGCTCCTTTTCAGACTGTCACAAATATACCATTTTTCTGTTCAGGGGCTTCAGTATTTGTGCATGCCAGAATACTGTCTTATTCAAAGTCTATATTATAGCCAACAAGGTCCTTCATTAACTTGATCCTTTTATTACTTTTATCTGACGTGTTTGCTCTCCACTCCTGTAACTTTGCTTGAGCCCCTCTCATCTGCCTGCAGTGTGCTCCCAGTTCAGAGCTTCTTCTTGTTTCCAGGAACATTCACCCGCCCCATTCCTTTCTGTCTTCTCTTGCTTTTTCAAGTCCTCTGTTCGAAAGCTCAAAGCATTTCATCAGAGAGGCCTTTCAGCACCACACGTTGATCCTCTATAACTTGCTTAATTTTGTTTGTAATATTATCAGCACCATCTGTTATTTTTCATTCTTTTCTGAAATCAAGTTCTATACATATTTGCATTAGTTTTCAAGTACTGTATTCCCAATGGCTAACATGCTGCCTAGAACATAGGAACAACTTAATAAATAAGTATTTGTTGAATGAATTAAATGAATAGATAAATCAGCGAATGCCACACATGGTATTTGATCTTGGGTTAGAAAAAGTTGTATGCAGTATAAAAGCTAAAGTTGAGAGTAATAAATTAAAAATATACAAGCTAAATGTTTCTCTACCATGCATGTTTTTCTAGAAAAAGTCTTCAAATATATATTTGGCCATCTTATAAGTCTGGCTCCAAAGTGTAACAAGACACATGATTAGGTATGATTCATTGATTGCCAGGCTAATCCAGGGCTAATCTGGGTGCTGATTTGTCATATATTGCCCATGCGTAGTTGTAAATGGAAGGTGATGCACATAGCAGCAAAGACATAAAGCTATAGAGTTTAATTATGTTTAAATTAATGCAGGAAGAATCAAACTCTTCTTTGACAATAATTAGAAGAGAGCCTTCTAAACAGTAAGTTGTCTGTAGAGGAGAGACCAGTAATATATTTGAGTATCAAAAATTCTCCAGGTTATTTTTACTTTGTTAAAACGTAAGGAAAATAAGAATCATAAATTCTGTGTAAAGCAAGAGCTTGGCTTTTTTTCCCCAGTGAATTGATAAGGTGCCTTTCTGTTAATTGTCACAGCACTTACCTTGAACAAATCGACTTTGCTGATGATGCTGAAGTTCATATCAATGGCAAGGGCTAGCCGCATTGTAGTTGGCAGATTTTCAAGCAAATCAGACTCATCTTCATAAAGGTAAATGCATTAAACCCAAAAGCAGAGTTAGTAATGCACTAACTTACCAAGGTGTGAGTGGAAAATTTAAGAAACAAAAAAAAAGTCATAGCATTAAATTAATACTTTAAAACTCACTGAATTCCTTTTCAAACTGAATTCAGCTCTGCTTCTACCTTACATAATTTTCATTTTATAACAAGGCTGATAGGAATTTAATCAGTAATCTTTCAGGCTTACCGAGCATTCTTTGAGAGTACCATGTATATTCAAACCAAGTCCGAACACGACTCTGCACACTTTGAGGGATGGAATAAGTGTTCATGTAAGCTATGGTGTGATCCATACAGACACGGAAGTTGTTCTGATTGGCTGTAGCTGCCCCAATTACATCTCGCATCTAAAATCACAGAGAAAGTGCAAGAATTACTAAAAGTCCAGTTGAATTAAATGTTGTTATAGATTCCCTTCTAATGCCCTGGCTACTTGATTTTTAAACACGTTAATATTGAGTCCTACTTTACCCCATTCTGTAAAATAGCAGGTAAATTATATCATCTCTAATAAATAAGAACAATAATAAGACTTGTCGTACCTATCATGTGAGATTGCTGTGAGAATTTGGTCACATAATACAAGCGACTGCACATTATCTTCTTCGCATGCTTGTATATTACTGCAAAATGTTAGCTGATATTTAAAAAACTACACAGCTTGTGCATTTGAAAGGAATGTGCAATAAAAATTGAGCAATTATCTGGCAAATGGCTAGTCCATTTCAGTGAGTCTCACTTTGAAAGCATCCTTCACAGATTATCTAGCGTTCCTGGGTGTGTAGACTCAATTCATCACGAAATTGCAACCTCTGTACTCCCTTTGTGTTGTTTAGACAGATAAAATCAAATCTCATCATGCTTAAGGCACAGTACTCAGCAGAAGCAGAAATGTGCTGAAATTACTGAAGCATCATCTACTGCTGTGACAATACTTAAGGAACTGTCAGGTTTTAGTTCTTGGATGTTTATAACTCAGCCATAAAAACCCACTCTAGGTTAAAAGCTGATCTTTAAGATCTCAGCACAAAAAAGATATATTGCTCGATTCTCCCTCTCACACAGAGGGAAGCAACTGGTTGTAAATTTGCTTTGACTGTGGGTTTGTAATAGTGAGGAAAACCAGGGCCTTGCTTTCACACTAAGACTTTGCTCATTTATTCTGGTAGCTGCTGAGCTTTATGGGAAAACTCCTCATTCTTTGGAGCTTAGTTCAAATAATGCCGTTTTCTTGTTGATGCCTTCCTTAGATTCCATTTTTAGGGCTAACATTTTCTTGAAAGCATCTACTGAGGAGCCAGGAAGACACAGTTCACTGTGTCCGTTGTTCTTACTCTCCCGTTCATTGCCGACTCTTCCAAATGTTCTTCCACAACCTCCATTCCCTGATATCCTGTTTACTGTGCCACTGTGGGCAGATGACCAATTTATCCAGTCGCCTAAATCTGGAAGACTTAGGATACTAATGGCATCCTGGAAACATCTAATAGACTGTTAGTTTGGAACAAAAGGCGATTTAAATCATTGCTGACTGCTGTTAAGGGCTCCAGAATTCGTAGTGACAATCGTCCAAATTGTTAGTGTGTTGTTTTCCAGCAATGATGGGTTGTGTGGGTGGAGGAGCTGAGGAAGGTTTATATTCTAGAACGAGTGCAGTCCAGGGAAGCACATGCAAGTATGAGTTAGAAATGTTAGGCTTTATGAGTTGCACTTGAGAATACAATATTGGAGTTAAAAAGCGATGATTAGTTCAGGGACTCGTCCCTGGTATAAGTGAGGATTTTCAATAAATGGCCTTCTTACTTTTGCTTCTGTTTTCCTTCTCTGCATCTTTTAGTCAATGAGGGTTTAAGGCACAAATCTGTCTCTAGCTTCACTGTTTTCCTCCTGTGTCTTAGTGCCACATTTTCAGTGGCTTGATACTTCTTGTTCTTGTGGGAACCTCACATGTCATTTAAAGCCAGGTGTGGCGTACAAGGCAGCATTTTTAGCTTGCACGTGCATTAGAATCATGTGTGGATCTTGTGAAAAAGCAGGGTCATATTCAATAGTTCTGAAGTAGAGCCCATGTTCTGAATTTCTCAATTGCTGCTGGTGCTACTGGGCCAAACATTGCCCTTCGAGTGGCAAGAGAAATAAACTTGTGCTAGATAGACACTGTCTTGTAATCTTGTGCAAGTTGCCTTGGTATGGCAAGTACTTAATACATGTTAAACTTTACTGCTATTATCAATATCATATATGGTTCTACCATATGAATATATAAATTATATGTATGAACTAGGGATGTCTCTTACCCTGTTTTTCTTCTTTCTTCATTTCCTTTTGCATACTGGAGGTTGAATATGAGACCTTTCACTGCCTTACAGTCCTAGTCTTTTTGTTTTGTTTTGAGACAGGGTCTCAGTGAGTCACTAAATTTTGACCTTTCTGCCTCAGCCTCCCAGAGTGCTGGGATTTCAAGTATGTATTATCATATTCAGCTGCCTCTTAATTTATTTAAGTTGGAATTTCCTCTAAACTTGAGAACACAATGATAGTAATGTGTCTAATCACATTGACTTTGTGAGAAATTACAAAAATAATGTGATTTTTGCTGTTTACGTTCAGGTTCATTTGAACTGAATTTCTCTCCAAATTTCTTCTTATTTCAATTACTGACACAATGTCCTTGGCCATGAAGATTATGACATATTATATTTAAGTTTTTAACTGCTTGATGTTCATTTTCTAATATCTAAATATTTTTCTAGGAGGAGTTTTCCTTACAATTTCTCTCTCCAGGTCACTGACATATCAGGCTGCGGTTGCCATATCCCTGGGTATCTGTATTAACTGTGTCTTTATTTCCTGTACTTTGTTAGAGGTGTTGCTATCTGGGCCCTTTCTTACCTAGGACCATACTTCCCTTTCACAGGGTTAGTAAATTCAAGGAGATTGTGACCAACTGTCTTGAGAGTGTCTTTCACATGCAAACTAGCCAATCTAGAGCTGAGTCTTCTCACCAGGGTCCTCTTACACTCATGCCATTATTCACCCGTCCTGGGGCCCAGTGCCAGCTCCCAGACAGAGACAGCACTACTCCCCAGAGGCTCCTGAACTCTGGAGCTATCCAGCTCTCATTCAGCTCACTCTGCCTCTCCCGCTTCTCCCCTGGTGCTTCCTTGTTCAGTCTACCCTTCCTTGTGTTGTGGTGAGTGTCCTCCTGCTGGGATCTGTAACTATGATGCATGATTTTTTAGTGGTAAGTCTCCCTGACCTGTTAGTCTTACCATACCTATATAACAGTAAAAATGTATTTTAAGTCAGTATCACCCTTTCCAATTCATAGTATTTTAATCAGTCTTCTGCATTCAAAGTCTTTCCTTTAAAATATCTTATCACTACACGTATCTCTTATTTACTGGTGTTTTTTACTCCTGTTATTTTCTGAAATATGTCTCATGCTTTATTGTTGACATCTTTTTGCACACTGTTCCTGTTCAATTGCCCTAAATACCTGTGACTAGTGAGTACAACCTGATTTTTGAAGAGACTTCAAATGCATTTTGTGCCACAAAACCTTCTGGAAAGTTCCTCCCTTTTTCTCAACTAATAATAGATTGCTTTCAAACTCCATATGCAGCAGACCCTTAATATCCATACATGTGTTGTTTGAGTTTTGATCATTTTTGAACAATGTCAGATACTATAACAAATTATGCCAAATTCTGTTTGAAAATGAGTTTAATTCATAGTACTGAGAATGTGGTGAGTGGGGACCAATTATTTCTCTCAGAGGAATAATCATTTTGTAACTTAGTCTAAATCTTTGTCTAGTACACTTCTCAACATGGCTTTTTTACTCTAGCATGTGGTATGTAAAGTGCTCTCCAAGGACTTCTAAAGATGCTATATTGTTGAACTTTTTGTTTCTTGTGAGTGGGAATTCACAAAGATTTTGGGTTCTTTTCCTTGTAAATGCGAATGGCTTTGCATTATCATTATTTATGTACTTGCGTACTAGATTGTGATCGTCTGAGAATAAGATAAGATGCTGTAATAAACATCTGTGTAGCAATGATTTATCAATTGTTTACAATGCCATTTTATAGTTTCTGGTTTAAATGAACTTGAAGTTGATTTCAACCAAGTGGTTTTGCAAGTTTAATTAAATAAGCAAGTTATAAACTGTTTTTAGAAAGCTTCAAGTAGAAAGCTAACTAAGAAATAACTTTCTCTGAGAGAATAAACTAATCGATTTTGCTAATAGGTCTTTTGATAAATTTAATAGTTTAAGAATGGAAAAGCAATGTTTTCCCAGTTATGTCCACCCCCTCAATATTAAAATAGATAAAAAGACAGTAAAAGAACAAAAAGAAAGAAATGAGAGAGCAGGGGTAGAAAGAAGAGTACAAGGATTAGATGACTTTAAAATTTTTTCCATAAAATTACTGACTTTTCAAAAATATTATATCTGGGATTCTGATTCAACTTACCTGACCGATTAGGCTGGAGAATACAAACACTCCAGAGAAGAAATTCAACAGTTGAAAAACAATTTCAAATAAAGTTTGTGGCTCAGGAAGCCCTCCAATGGTAATTAAACTTCGAACTGCCCAATAATAACACCTCAGATATCTGTGAAAAAGAGACAATACATATTTCCTTTTTTTATATCATTGAAACGCAGTTTTGTTTGGAAGCATAGATTCCTACATTATAAGAAGTTTCTCCTCATCAAGAGTTTGTTTCTGTAGCCAGCACTAGCAAACACTGTATAGGCTAACGTGAAGTTAATAGGTATCGTGAAATGATTAAGCAATTAGACCCAAAGAGGGGAGTTTACTAACTGTTCTCAGAACTTAGTGGTATAAAACAACCGCTATTTTGTTAGGCTCAAGTTTTGTAGATCAATAATTTGTGCAAGACCCAAAACGGTCATTCACTCCACGAAGAATGGGCCCTCAGTTGGGGTGACTTGAATGCCTGGAGACATCTGGAAAGACACCATTGAGGCCTTGAGTTATCTGGGGCCTTGATTTTTACACTGTTTATGTTTCTCTGTCTTTCTCTATACTATATTTACTTCGAATACCTAAGCTAGTGTCTTCCTTCACTTTTCTGAATCTGTTTAAAGATGAACAGAACAACTGGGGCTGGTTGGCTACTTCTGTTTCCATTTCGCCTCTTAAAATGACTGTTTTGAGCTTCTTCATCACATGGTGGTCTCAGGGTAGATGAGATTACATGGCAGCTGGTTCACCCTGAGCAGCCCCGGAAGTAGCTGAAAGCTTTCCTAGAACCCATCGGGTCCATAGCATGTTAATTTCTCACTACATTATGTTTCTCAAGCAAATCACTAAGACCTGCTCAGATTCAAGGGAAGAAAATTTAGATTTGTCTCTCAGTGAGAGGACAGTCAAAAAATTTGAGGCCATCTTTAAACTATCATACCAATGACTTGTGAGGAATATTATAGAGATTAAGTATACTTACACAGATAGGAGAATATTTTATAGCTTAGATCCAATTTCTACTGACAGAAAATAGACCAGATAAATATCTTTTCTATATTTTCTACTCCTATCTTATGTTACTGAATATACAAACAGTGGCAGAGATAGAGGAGAGAACTGAGCTCCATCTTAATAGAGAAATTACTTTCAGATATAATAGGTAATTTATTTAGAAATTTGATGCTGTATAATTTTTTTTTTTTGGTCTTTTTCCTTTTTATCGGTACCAGGTATCGAACTCACGACGGCCTGCTTGTAAGGCAGGCGCTTATGCCGCTGAGCTAAATCCCCAGCCCCTATTTAGAAATTTAATATTGAATAAAGCCAAATATGCTTAGAAATATACTTGACACAGGTTTTGTCATAACTCAATCAGTTGAGAAATGGAGACATTGAGATCATGGCAACCCAGATAGGAAGAGGATCAGAAAAGAATGCCAAGGATTAGCACAGAACATACTCTGGTCATTTAGCTACACTTTACTACGAGTTTCATGGAGTTCATAGGTAGGGATGGAATTTGGTATTACAACCTCACTTTATAATGCCAATTATGAATTATAATTTCTGTGCCTAACTATACTATTTTGTATGCTCTATTTAGTTCTGTTAATTTAGCCTGGGCCAGATGTTTCCACTAAATCCTTCAGAGAAAGCCCTGTGTATAAAGACAATTTCCAGATATTTTATAGACTTAGACCATATGATATTCCATATTTCATGTATTTAGTGAGTCTCATCTAGCTGTTCTAATATCTGGGATAGACACAGAAAAGTGGCACTTTTTTTTGGTACTAGGAATCAGGACATTTTACAGAATCCTGTCCTTCAGCTACAACATTAGCACTGTAGATAACTGTGCATTAATCTTTGAATAAAGTAATGTTTTTCTTGTGAAAACAAAATAGTTTATAATTTTCAGATCTTAAAATAGTAAGAAGTTGGGGTTTAAAAGAATGAAACAAATTGAGGTTGAAGTCAATATTCAAATAGAAAGAAATCTAAAAAGAAATCACTCATTCAAATTCCGTATCTTTTGAAGGACATGTGATTTTTTTAAACATAGTAGTTATGGGAATGGAAAAAATAATTAACTCTTTTGTAAGGTTTGAAACTAGTGTACCAAGAGAATTAAAATATCACCACTGTGTAATTTTCTTCTAGCAAGCTTCCCTGGACTTACTAATATTGTAATGAACTTGATGTCAAAGAGAACCACCTTGAAGAAGTGTAGAAGTAAGTTTATAAATTGCATTTTAACTTTAAAAAATTCCAATTTATAATTTCCTGTTACCTAATTTATTTTGATCACAGGTCTTGGACTTGTGGTTATCTTTGAAATTAGGAAATTTATTAAACCAACAGTACTCCCCAAGAGTGAGGAGAGCCTGGGTTTTCTGCAAAGGGCCAATTCATTGTTAAGTATTGGGATTCTTGTCCTCTCTAATGTCACTGCAGTATTAATAAGAACAAACACATGAATCATTTTCTTTCCTTTTCCTCTTTATAGTAACAATCAAATGTGAAATTTTGGCACTGATTATCCAATTCTCAAGGGCTAACCTTGGACTTTTTCTTTTGCATTACATACTCTGCTATGTTAATTGGAAGTTTTCTGCCCTGATGCTTTGTGGTTTATTTTGTGATTCTTTTCTCAGTCACGTCTTACAACCAGACATGCACAACCAAAGGTAAGATTTGTAATTTAATTAGATGTCTTCATATTGATTTTCTGAGATTAGCTTAATTAGTCAAGTGTGTCCATCTCTAAAATGTACACCTTCTAGACAGATCTTTTCAAGGAGATTCTATCTGGCTGATTTAATACATAAACTATGTTACTATTAATTTTGTAATAGATGAAATACATCACACACACATACATGTACACATACATTATCAGCTCCAAATTAAATTTATAAGGCAATATTTGACATAAAAGTTAAAAAATTTAATGTAAAAATAGGAATTCTTCCTCTATGAATAAAGAACTACATAACTTGTATCAAAATTAAGAAACAATCTGATTAAAACAGGACATAATCTGAATAAATATTTCTTAAAAGAAGATATGCAAATGTCCAACAAGTATAGGAAAAAGTGCTGAGCATTTCTAATTAGGGAAATGTAGTCAAAACTACAATGATATATCACATCCCAGTTACTATGGCTATAATAAAAAAGCCAAAATTTTTACATTATTTTGAGGAACTACCACACTGTTTCTATACTGGTTATGCTAATTTACAATCTTTTCAACAGTTTCTCTGCATTCTTGCCAGTATTTATTTTTGGTCTTTTTGACTATGGACATTCTAAGTGGGGTGAGATGATATCTCATTCTTGTTTAATAATACTGAGTACATTATCATGCATTAACCATTGGTATGTCTTCTAAGAAATGTCTTTTCAGCTCAACAGAAATGAGGCAGAGAAGATTGGATGATAGGAACAGCTATTTTGGAGAAAATGACATCTTAATAGGTAATACTGATTTAGTATCATCTTGTTTTGAAGTCTCATCTAGCTTTTGTCCTTCTGTCTCCAATGGTCTAAATAGGCTGTATCTTATTGGATTTTATTATGTATGATAGTATAAGCAAAAACCTTTTAAAGACAAGGAGATTATACAGAAACCATTTGTTCATTTTCTGTTAGTCGATTCTAAATACTCTGTAATGCTGTCATTCTCTTGAATGGTTTTACATTGTTTTGATATACTTAATGCTACAGTATACAAAGTTGTACTCAAGGATTTCAAAGAAAGAGACAATATGGTAACTACTTTTAGGTTAGGATTATCTGGTGGTGAAACACTATTCTAATGGTTATGTTTTGATCTGCGCTGTTTCGTTGTTATGCCCTCTTTTATCTCAATCTCCACTCCATTATTTACTGTTTTATCTTTATCCTTTTAATTAAAGGGAAAAAATAACAGGATATATTATAGTAACCCACTTTGACTTTTCATTACCTTGATTTAAAGCCCTGTATTACTCTCACCATCTGGTTTTTAACTGATGTTCCCCTATTCTGTTTTGCTGGATAGTATCAGGTTCGAAAGTTTAGGCATCAGCTGTGAAGATAATGAGATTCATTATGACGCCCATTCTTGTTGACTTTTATCTACCTTTGAAGACCTACAATGTCTCCAATGTTTTGGTTTTGTCGGTTTTATTCTTTACTGTTTTGTTCAATTGTATTATAACTAATGATATAGGCAATTCTATTAGAGATAGCGGGAGACATTATGGTAACCATTGTTGATCACCTTGTATTATGTTTTTACATTATCTATTATGTACACCCTTTTGACTTGACCGTTTCTGTTCTGTTATGTCACATTTGGTTTTACTCTCTTCCAAAAAAGTAATAAGAACCGTGGGAGCAATGAAACCCAAAATGTGTAATAGTCATGGTACAAAAGAGAGGAAAAGAAAGTGCTCCAAACTATATAACTGCATGTATATTTAAGTGTATAAGATAGAAAATGATATCACAGAGTTTTATTGGATCAATGAACAGAACTGTTTGCAGTATCATTGACGGAATGTCCACTTTACAAGCTTTAATTTTGTGACTTGAACAATTATTTCTAAGATGACAATATGTAATCCATTAACTAGTGATTTCCTACTGTTCATTTTTTTTCTGTAAATCTGTATAACTTGTACCCTTTCCCTGCTTTTTTTTTCTTTTCTCCTTAAATAAAATTAAAAAGAAAAAGAAAAAAAAAAGAAATGTCTTTTCATGTCCTTTGTTGATTAAATTTTTTGCTGTTAAATTTTTGAATGTCTTATATATTTTGGATATTAACCTATGACAGATATAAGGTTTGAAAATGTTTTCTTTGATTTAGTAGATTGCCTTTTCTTTTATTTTTTCAATTTTTTTGCTGTGTAGAAGCTTTGTAGTGTGATGTAAGCCTATTGTAATCAAGATTTTCAAGGGAATAGATTTACTACAGGACACATAAACTTATGGAAGTATCTTATAATATTTGCCCAAAAAGTCAAATGCAGAAGACTGCAAGAGATCTGTCAAACTGAAGTGAGAGACCCAAAGAATTCAACCAAGGGCCTGGAGCTTGGGGCAATATCTTGTGGAATTCTGCATCAAAAATTTGCACTGGGAAGGGCCAACAGCCAATGGCGGAAGCTAGAAAGTCAAGGCTTGCAGGCTGAGGGATCTGTCCTGGTGCCAGGAAATGATGCTCAAGGCAAAGGCCAGAGCTCTGCCAAAGAGAGCCACAGCCATACCTGCAACGGTGAGGACCTAAGTTCCTTCTCTGAGGGGAAGGATGGAGTTCATATTAGGAGAAACAATAAAGCTTCTCTTGGGAAATCAGTAGCATGCCATTTTCACTTCCTGTTGTTTTTATGACATTCCAGTAACAACCCTCAGGTGGATCTTCCACACCTGTAACCACACTGACTCACTTCAGCTGGGTGTTTCCACTCAAATTGACCATTAATCAATCTACCACAAAACCCATTTGACTATATTTGTTTTTGTTGCCTGTGTTTTGGGGGTCATATCTAAAATATCATTATCTAGATGAAGATCGGAGAGCTTTCCTCACTATGCTTTTCTAGGAGTTTTCTCATTTTAGGTATCACAGTCTTTATTTGAGTTAATTTTTGTGTATGGTGTAAGATAAGTATCTATTTTTGTCCTTTTGCATGTGGACTTACAGTTTTCCTAACACCCTTTATTGAAAAGACTGTCTTTCCTGTTGTGTATTCTTGTCATCCTTGTCAAAGATCTGTTTGACCACCATGTATATGCTGGTTCATTTCTGGGCTCTTTTTTTTTTTTTTTTTCTGTTGGTCCACATCTGTTTTATGTTTTTTTTTTGTTCTGTTGGTCCATATCTGTTTTATGCCAGTATCATACTATTTTGATTATTACAGTTTTATAATATACTTTGAAATATGGATGTGTGATGATTTTACCTTTGCTGTTTTTGCTAAAAATTGCATTAGCCATTTGGGGCCTTTATGACTCCATATGGATTTTTATTTGCTTATCTTATTTCTAGAAAAAGACTATTAGAGTTTTGTTATGGTTTTTTATTAGATCATTTTGGATAGTTTGAACACTTTAACAGTATTAACTCTTCCAATTCATGGGCCCATATCTTTTGATTTGCTTGCATCTGCTTCAGTAGTTTTCATTTCTGTTTTGTAGTTTTTCGTGTACAAGTGTTGGGCCTCCTAATATGTTATTTTTGATACTTTTTTAATCAAAAAGATTATTTCTGAATTTCCCTTTTGGATATTCCATTATTAATATATAGAAATGCTACTGGTATATCATAAGCATTGTCTCATTAGATGAATTTTTGAGAATTGCATATACCTATATAACTCAAACACCTATCAAGACAAAGAATATTGGCACCATTCAAGAAAATTCTCAAATGCAAATTAGAACAACACTGAGATTTCATCTCACTCCAGAAAGAATGGCTATCATCAATAAATCAACCAATAACAAAGGCTGGTGGGATGTGGGGAAAAAGGAAATTTTCTCTACTGCTGGTGGGAGTGTAGACTAGTGCAACCTCTGTGGAAATCAATGTGGAAACATCTCAAAAAACTAGGATTGGAGGTTTCATTTGACACAACTATTCTTTTTTGGGTATTTTCTCAGATGAATTAAAATTATCATATATACATGCATACATACATATCTGTATACCCATGTTTATATCAGTACAATTTGTAATAGCTAAATCTTGGAAACAACTCAACTGCCCATCAACTGAGGAATGGATAAAAAATGAAGTATTTATATACAATATAGTACTACTCAGCTATTAAGAAGGAAACATTTGAGGATTTTGTTGGTGAATAGTTGCAACTGGACACCATGATCATAAGTGAGATAAATTAGGTTGACATGTATAAACATCATATTGTCTCCTTAGTGTAAGAAAGTGTACCCTTTCTTACATTAAGGGTAAGGGTAAATAAGGGTAAATAAGATTAAAAAAGTACAACAGATATAGTGAAATGGTAAGAAATGAGAAAGAGCAAGGAATAGGTTAGGGGAAAGGAGAAAAGAAGGAAGGGAGAAGAAAAAAGTATGTATGGATATATATGTATATGGATATATATGCACATATACACACAAGGCAGTTAAGATAATCACACTACTAATTTCCATTAATTCATTGGAAAAGACTGTCTGTGCTTATACTGTTTGACCAATTTTACATGCCTATATCTTATAATCTGAGCAAGTACCTTGAAGATAACAATTCGCAATCTATCAAGCACTGATAATTTCCTATTTTCTTGTTTTCAAACTCTGTATCATTGTTTGTACTGTGTCTTTCTTTTCTTTAAACAAATAAAATTTAAAAAAGAAAAAGAGAATTCTCTTGGCTTTTCTCATTCAGTCCTTCTCCCCAGTTCCCCAGGAGCATTAACTTCTTTTTTCTACTATAGATTAGTTTTGTCCATTTTAAAATTTAAGGTAAATGTAATCATACAGTATGTAGGTTTTTGTGCAAAATAGGTTTTACTCAGTGTAATGACTTTGTGACTTATCTATGCTGTGTGCATCAGTCATTTATTCCTTTATATTACGCAGTAGTACTCGTTATATGCATATGTACGTATTATTGTTTATTCATCTATTGATGAATAACCTACACCATCAAAGCTTCTAAGTGAGTAGGGCTTCTATGTATATTTTTGTACAAGGATTTTTCTCTGGGTGAAGCTGTAATTTCTCTTGGGTAAATCTTTAGGGTTGGAACTTTTGGGTGGTAAAGTAAGCATGTGTTTAATTGTGAAAGGAATTAGTGAGGTCTTCTTGAAATAGTTACATCATTCTACATTCTTGCCAACAGTGTGTAAAAGATCCAATAATTCCAACTTACTCTAGCAATTGCTATTGTCAGTCTTATTTCAATACTTGGTGTGGTCAGTATTCTTTAGTTTCAGCTTTTGTAGTGAAAAATTATATCAAAGTAAATCAGACATAAATTAATTCAAATTTTAAAGAGAACTATTTAGTAATACATTTTAGTTATAAAGTTATATGTTTTGTAGAAACTTGTCAGGAATGGGTTCCCTTTGTGTGTGTGTGTGTGTGTGTGTGTGTGTGTGTGTGTGTGTTTTCTACTCTGGGAATCTTCTGATTTTGATCAAGTCAATTCTGGTTAAAAGTTCAAGAAATGTTATCTAGCTTCTACATATATTCAACTCACTTTGAGTAGTGTATAATTTTGTAGATATTTTCACCCTCTTTGCTATCTCCAGGAATTGTTCTCCATCCTAAGGTTGCACTGTGCCGCCCTTCAGAGCCATGCTTGGACTTAGTGTTTTCCAGCAAGGACAGTGCTCTATATCAGGCTCAATATCATTTCAGTAGAGCAGAAAGTTAGTGGTGTCTACAGATCCTTATCTACCACAAGGAAATTTCTCTCTCTCTCTCTCTCTCTCTCTCTCTCTCTCTCTCTCTCTCTCTCTTCTCTCTCTCTCTCTCTCTCTCTCTCTCTCTCTCTCTCTCTCTCTCTCTCTCTCTCTCTCTTTGGTACCAGGAATCAAACTCATGACCTTGTGCTTGCCAGGCAGCCTCTATGCCACTGAGCTATATCTCCAGCCCAAAAGTAAATTTTTCTACTACAAACAAACAAACAAACACCCAGTTGCCATTATTAAGTTGTGATCCAAATCACTGATTTTCTAAAAATGGTTTCTTTTTTTCCTGGGACACTTGTACACCTAATTGTCAAGCTTCATTTATGATCCTTGTTATTGTCTAAGTGTTTAATTGAGTTAGTGGTTATAGCTGACTCATAAACCCATAAAACTGCTCAGTATTAAACTCATTAGCCACTGCACCTGCCCTCTAAATAATTAATGGTGTTCATTACTACCAACCAGCATTTGAGTTATTAAAAGTTATCCTACTAGTGAGTTATCTAGAGACTTCCAAACTTTTTTTTATCATGATTCAGACTAAAGAAATACATATCACAGGCTAACTGAGAACAACGCACGCACACACACACACACACACACACACACACACACACTCCTCCACTATCAGTCAGGAAGACTCTGATATTTCCTAATCTATTCTCCTACATTCTATTTCACTTCAAAACATAGTAACTTCTTGAAGAAGTTTACTCCCCATGAATGGGTTGTGACAGTTAAAGAATGCTGATTTAGCATTTATCCCCTGAATGAATGAAAATTAAAAGAATCATTGAGTGTCTTTCAAAATTATAACTCACTTGTTTCCTTCACCATTATACACCCATTTTGTTGTGCCAATTCCTTCATAGTTTGAAGCCCAGTAATAAACACAGGCATTAACGTGCAGAATAAATAGCAAGTAGCCAGTTGTTCGAATGACTCTGTTAGAGAGAATAAATGCAAAGTTAGGATTCATGTTGTTCCTGGAACACAGCCTATTTTAACATTTTCTTTTCTTTTAACTCTCCACTGAGCCTTCTTGCTTTAGATTTGCAAGCTGCTACCTCTCATTAGCACAGTAGGAAGTGATGGTGTCATCACATGTTGTCTAGCTGCAGTGTCTTGACTGGGACTGACAGAGTGTAAAAAAAATCCGTCTCTCTTTTTCACAGATGGTCTGAGTCAACTCTGTGAATGACACGCCTCAAGGGTCACCTCTCCATTTTTAGTCCCGTAAAATATGCCACACTGATTTAACTAGGTATCCCTGAAAAGCCCACGGGACGTTATGCTACCATGAGCTGTGACTAGAGGTCAGTGTGCAAGTGAGCATTAGAGCACCGAATGAGTGCAGTGTAGATCAGGGATGAATCGTCATGAGAGAGCGCTAAAGTCAACTTGCAAAAGAGCACACTTATTTGCCCTTGTTTTGGCTGAAATGGATAAGTCCTATTTTTAAGTTCAGAGTTTTTCTGAAGTCTGATATGATTTTCACACTTTTATCTCACTTGAAATAGCTAGACCTGTTTTGGAACACGTACTTGGATTTCACACAGTCAAATCTGAAATGATCTACTTTTTTTGAACAGCATGGTCATCTTTCCCCAAAGAGCTGCCTAAAATGCTTTGCCTTTGCATCTTTACTTCCCACAAGTGCGTGTGTGTATATATAAATATATACATTACCTGTAGATATATGCTTTGTTCATTATAGACTCTAGATGATGATTGAACTCAAAAAATGAAGTGTACTATGTAAAAACAAGTAAAAAGAATTAAAGTATGTTAGTCTTAGGTAGGTCTATTTAGATAAAACTATATACAAATACAGTTTAGTTGTTACGAGAAATGATTTTATTCATTCATCTTTAAAAAAACATCAAGATCCTGTTTAGTAGTATTCTCCTCTAGGCAGGATAGTTCAGCATGCTGGCAAACTTCTAGAATTTCTTGCTTTATTTTACTTCTATCCTCTAGTTATAGTTTTCTCTGTAATGCTCTTTGAAAATCAATCATAGTTTTATTTTTAAAGCATACAGTAAAATTTATTTCACAATAATTGAAATCATACTCTACCAAAAATAACTAAAAAGAAGAAAAATCTAACATAATACATTGAAGTCATAAATAGGTACATCCTGTTGTTCCACACTGGCACTATTTTTAAGCAAAACGCATTAAATGTATATTCTTTTCAATACAATTTTAAGCTCAGTATTAGCATTGGTTGGTTACTCTTGATATCATCCAAAACCTAATGACTTTATGTGATCAATCTTATTCAGAGTTTGCTATTTTTCTCAAAGTTCTTTCATGCCTACTTTTATTTCAGCTCTTACTTCCTCAGTTCTCTCCTACCCTTCCACTTTCCTTCCCTCTTTCACTGCCTGTAGGGAGTATAACACAGCAGTAAGAACACAAATCTTGGGGCCAGGGATTTAGCTCAGCGGCATAAGCACCTGCCTTGCAAGCAGGCAGTCGTGAGTTCGATCCCTGGTACCAATAAAAAAAAAAAAAAAAAAAAACGAAAAAGACCACCACCACCAACAACAACAACAGCAACAACAAAAGAACATAAATCTCTGAGCCCAGTTCCAGTCCCATTTCTACCATTTACTAGCTGTGTGATCTTGGAACAATCTCTTACTATGTCTGTACTTTAATTCCCACAATTTTAAATCAGACATAATAAAAGAACATGCTTCCTAAAAGATTATATACTCAGGATCTTATGGACAGAAGAAACTTTACAGATTACTTAGTTCAAAACTTTAATATAGGCATGACTGCAATATAACATTTGGAATTAAAAATAGTATAAGTAATAGCAATAAATTGTTAACTAGAAATATACACAAATGATTTGTTTTTCAACAAATCCCAGGTTGGAAAATATCCCTCAAACACTCTCATTATGATAATTTCAACTTTTGGTAACATGGTTATTATGTTCTTAACAGAAGTTTAGCAATAGAAGTTTGCTTTAAAATTTAGCTTGTTTATAATAGAGGAAATTTATATTTTTAATTTGTTTTCCCATTTATAAATTGGAGACAGAGGTGATAAACATTTATTCTGGAGAATTGTCTATTCGAGTGACACCATTATAAATAACAGAACTGACGGGACTGCAAGACTAGGGAAAGATCAGTGCTGACTTCCACTATGTATATTTTAAAACTGCTGGTCGTAGAAGGCTTCTCGGCATCTTAAGGATATAGAAATGGGGTATGTGGGGCTGGTATTTTGTAATTACAATGTCAAACAAACTCCAAAATCCGTAGGAATCTGAGTCTTTTTGAAAATTGGTTGTCTTTTAGCAAGTGCCTTCTGAAATTTCTGTATGAGACTAAAATTTGATGAGGAATGGCCTGATATTAGGCTGCTGAGATGCTGAGTTTTGCCTCAGTTTATACTAATATTCTACAGTCAAATTCAAAACCTCTAGTGTTGTGCTAGGTGTACATAAATAGTGGGTTAGCACCCTTGTAAGTTAAAAACATCATGAGCAGGCAAGAAACCCTTTGCCTGATGTTAGTCTATCAGTTTGCTTATAGTAAAGAATGAGGAATTGGATAAGCATGTAGCAGAGCCCAGATACTGCCTCTCACCAGCAGATTGTTTTTACCATGCGAATTCTCATTTTCCTCATCTCTAAAATGAAGTTGTTGGGGGAAATGCACGAGAAATGGACATGAAGCAAAGTATGTGGCCCCAAGTATGTGCTCAAGAAATTTCAGCTGTTGTCACTCTTTTTGCCAGCATCCACCAGTATCACCAGGTTGTACTACTGCGTCTTCCTAAGAGACAAAATGGGCAATCAATCCCAATTTATAAAATCTTCTATGATTCACTTAGAAAGTCATCTTTGGAAACACATATTATCATCATATTCTTAAGGATTTACATGCAATGCCTGGACTCTCCTCAGATTCTTTTTAGATTACCCAACAAAGCTATGAGTTCTAAAATATTTATGTCTTAGTATCTTTTTGAGTAGGTCATTTATTTACATAGTTCAAAATCAAATGAAATGCATGGCTTAAAAGTCTTGCTCTGATCCATTCTGATTTTCTTTCTGCTTTCCTTTCCATCTTAGGTAGTCATTTTTTATTAGGATTTTTTGAGTAGTCTTTTGTAAATTTAGAATAATGAGTATTTTTTCCTTCATGTTGAATAAAAGTTAACACTACTCCGTAAACTGTTCTGTATCGTGTTTTTTGTTTTTCTCTTTACTTAGAAATTTATCTTGGGGGTCTTTGCATACTAATAGGTGGAAAATTTCTTTTTAAAAATATTTTTGAAGCTACAAAGTATTCTATTATGTAGGCTGTAGGTATAATTATTTTCTTCAATGAATATTTTCATTATATCCAAGTGTGTATATATATATATATATATATATATATATATATATAATTTTGTGATTTAAAAATATGCTTGCATTTTTTCCTAGAATTATAGAATTTTAGATAAGCAAGAAACTTAGAATTACCAAGTAATTCTACTTTCATTCTTTCATTTTAGCCATATTTCAGTCACTGAATAACTGTCCGATATAAAAGGACCAATTAAAAATGCGAAATATTCATTTATATTTACAGTGGTATTTAGAAGTACAAAAGAATTTCTAGCTTTGATTATAAGAATACATGTTGTGAGATTGAATAAAAGTAAACAGGATCAAATTCCATCAGGAGAAGCAATGACATTTTTTCTTTCATTTATTTAAAAGGTCATAACATTGATGGAGAAAAGTTTGGAAAAGATTAGGCATACTGGTAATTTTAAGATATTTAAATTGTTTCAAGATTTCCATTATAATGCAATTACATATAGTTACCTTACCTTCAACATCCTATTTGTTCTAAACATCGTATTATACCCAAAGAAGAGATAGAAAACTTCAAACGGTATTATTGATGCCACATCCAACTGTTGGAAGAAGACATTAAGAATTATGTGAGGGCTACATCCTTTATGGGGTCATCAATGAATTCATACCAAATGAATGTAAAAGTTGGTCAGTTACAATGAAATATTTGTTGGTAAATATGCATGGTGCCATTAAAGGTGTGTTAGCACCATGAAAACAAAGTCACTATTTTGAAGCTGCTTTCAGGGTATTTTATTTCCACTTTCATGCCTCTGATTTCTCCTTAGGCATTACATTTCCTGTGAGCTTTCACAGACACTTCAGTGATGATATGGTTGATAATGCTATAATAAATTTTAATAGTCTTTTCAATAGGAGACTCTGGAACTAAAAATCAAGTCTTATTTTTGATTGTGTTTGAAACCAATGCATGTTCACCAAATATTTTTGTATTCCAACCAGTTCTCTAGTGTTCAGAGTTGGGTATATTGGTGAGGTTCTTTCACGATATTCAATGTTTTCTATTGAAGTGAACTTTTTTGCTGCCAGCTAACTGCTGTGTAAGTATCAGAGAATGCAGGCTAAGAGAGAGAAGATAAATAAATCCCTTCTGTTTCCTATTCAAGCACATAGATTTTTAAAATTTGTCATGAATTTACATCATTCTGGCCTTCTCACACCCTGATAATTCTGAATTAATGACATCACATTTGCATATTTTCCTGACCACAATAACTGAAAGAAATTTTTCTTTTTGTACTGGGAATTGAACTCAGGACCTTGCACTTGCCAGGGAGGCACTGTGCCACTGAGCTGTATCCCCAACCCCAAGAAATTCTTTTATATAATGTTACTTATTTTCACTAACTTTTATGTGGTCTTCAACATTGGGTACATTAAATAAACTTAAGCTATCTTCAGACAATTAAGAGTTGTTAGGAGCATATTTTAAGGCCATATGTATAAAAAAACAGAATTGAGGTGATTAGTTGTGTAATCATTTCAAATGTAACTTCTACTGAATACAAATGGAACTTGTACTTTGTGTTAACCAGTTTAGCTATTATGAAATACTGATGGTACTGGTTTAGGAATTGCATCATATCATGGAACCTTATCACTTTACCCTACAGATATCTTTTTCTACTTTTTCAATTTTTACCTTTTATTACTGTCTTTCATTAGCACATTTTTGCAGCACATAATGCCTACCTTCTTCACCGAGAGTTGGAACATGCACATACCCCATCTCAGTTCTCTTTTCATTCCCCCATTGCCTCCCTATCTTTTCATCCCCTCCCCTTTTGCAAAAAGATCTTTGTGCTTCCTATTATCTATCTTTATTTCTTTTAATTTATATTTGGGTTTCTCATATAATAGAACTCAACATACAAGAACGTTTCCTAAAATAATGTCTTTCAAATAAGAAATCAGGCACATGGGACTATTGACCTAATTAGTGCTACTCTGGAACCCATGGGTTCGGGCTCATATCACAGTGATTATTTTTACTTACTTTCTATCCCATTGCTGAACTTCCAATTTAACTTCTCTATGCAGATAGTCAATAGCCATTTTTAATATTAACCCACTGGCATACATTTATGTAGACAGAGACTGATGTTTTATTTAATTGTAGGAAATTGAATTGATTGGTAATTAACATCAAGCTCCGTTCAAGGCCCTTTGTAAAGCATGTTGAGCTTGAAATAGGAGTAGGATATTGTTTTGTTCACAAAAGTTAGTCTCATAGTAGAATAACCAACCACTAAAAGTATCTATCATGAAATGCCAGAAGACAGGCAGGATGTACTAAGGTTATTCAAAAGAAGTGAACACAAATAAATAAACATAAGATTTTACAGTAATAAATGCAATTAGATATATACATTAATTTTGTTCTTATTCAAATTCAAAGAAGTACTGTATTAAGAGTTTAGAAAATGCTTTGTGACTCTTAAAAAGAATATTTATTGTTTTTGTGGCAATCATAAGGTAGTGTAGGTCTTTTATGAATCCATCTATTATGTGGTGATGCTTTACAAAGAAAATTAGTTGGATATAAAGGCAAACTAATAGACTTTTAATCACTGAAGTTTGCTAATATGGGAAATTTGGAACTTAAACCCAGATTTGTGTTTTTCAAAATAAAATTCAAGGTGACTAACTTGTCCTTACAGTGGGAGGCTAAAGTTTATACATATGGATTGAGTAATTTTGAATAATCCTTGATCTCTACTTAGCTCTGAGTTCAGAGAAAAAATAAAAGGTAAGAAAATATTTCATAAATCATCAGAATAATAAAATATAACAATGTATTGTTATATGAGGAAAGGAAGATGTTTCTTTCTATTTTTGTTTTGCTTATAGGAACAAAAAAGAAATGAATTTAGAAACAAGTTTGCATCCTTTTATACTCTCATGTTACAAGACTAAGAGACTAGAATTCTGTAGACAAGACTAACTCAGAATTCAAATGTGTGCACTAACTTAATCTGCTTAATAATGACACATATATTGAATTAATCATTTGTATATACAAGGGAATGTATCATGAAGTTATTAAGAATAAAAACTTGAGGTCTCCCATTGTTTAAGAAAATCTCTATGAAATTTTATTACAATGAAAGATGATTTATTTATAGAAATGACATTTAAAATGATAATAGATTACTTGAAATTATTTAGAAGTCACCCACCTGAAATTTTGTAGAACTCCTATAATGTCTCTTTAGTTCATTTGAATCCTCCTGAAATATGTTTATGTCAATTTCATTAATTATTTTTCACTTCTTATATTTATAGCTATTTTTTTCTTCTGGAAACTTCTAATCCCAGTCTACAAATATGGTATATCTTTTCCCATTTTGAAGCAAAATACTCTTTTGCCCCACTGTTTGTCAGGGTTGAGATTCTCCAACTAGTCATCTATATTACTTCAGTTTCAATCCTCCCTCAAATTGATCCTGAAGCCATGGCAATTTTTGACACTTTGGCTTCTTCCCACTTCTCGCTTCTGAGACTAATAGTGCTAAGCCCAACAATAACTCGTTAATTATCACATTCAGGGAATCCTTTCCTACACTCAGCATGCTGTATGGCCCTCACCAAACTTTGAAAGGATACATATATGCCTTAGCTCATTTGTTTAAAATCATCTATGTGATTAAAAGGTAATCCATCTGAAGACAGTTGACTTCATTAAGCAAATGTGTGTACATGGTGCTTGGAATATACTGCAAGAATCCAATACACACTGAGGGATGAAGAGATGAAGGAACGGGGGGAGGGAATGGTGACATTTTTTGAAACATTTGACAACTTTGCTCTTGAAACAATCAGTATCACTCTGGGTTCCCTTTACTTCTTAAGTTCCACATTTTTGCTATCCTAGGACTCTTGGACTAGCCATGTAAAAGTTGATGCTGCCCATGATTTTATTTTCTTCTCTTTCCTCTTTGTACTTACTTTCTGAGAAATTTTGCATATTTTTGTTATTTCAAAGACCATTATATATGTCCAGCCTAATGAATGTCTACCTCTACCTATAATACTGTCTTGCCATTTGTGCTCCACTTGAATTAATCATCATTCTGTTTCCTTTAAGCCTAATGTGATCTCACTCCTTCAATCGCCTGTCCAGTAAGCATCCTTACTGATCCTGGTTAATGATCCTAGACTACTCTCTCAGCTCTCTCCAACCAGCAACCAAGTTCTACAGATTCTTTTCCCTAAAATTTTGTGTTCATTTTCTCCTGTTGCCAGTGCTCCCCCTGCCTCATACCTTACTCTACTCTGCATTTTCAAGCACAGGCAATGATCTCTAAATCAGAGTACTTAACAATCTGTAGTTCTGTCAAATCTACATGATTTTAAGGAAAAAATAGCATTCCTGATACTCAAGGCTTTCCTTTCTGAGTCTCAGGCACCTCCTGCAGCCTTTCATCCACACTTGATTTAGCAGTTCCTCAACTGCAGCAGAGGTTCTCAACTTAACACTTTTCCATGATGTCTTCAGAGCTCAGCGAGTGTCAGTCTTTTGCTGGGGGAAAGAGGGTACAGGTAACTCTATCCCCTCTTTGAAGACTTGGAACGAGTATCTTTTCATTCATGTGGTTTGCTGTGAGCCTCGCAGCATCCCAGGCTTACCTTTGTCAAGATTTGCAACATAAAATTCCACCATTTTCCTTTTTTTGTCTTTCCTTCATATCTGAGCTATGTAAGATAACTATCTTTAACCTCAGTTTCCTCCGTTCTTAGTAATCTGTTGCATAAAGACAGTATTTAACAAATGCATTATATGTGATTGATGAAAGATTAATAACAATCTTCAGACTTAAAAGAGTTAGTATTAGGTTTACATTCATATGTTTTACTTATATGTAAGAAAAAATGTCTTACGTATTTTTGGCACATTGATAGAAGTGCTGGAATGTAGACATATAGAAATAGCATTGTGTAACGATTACCCATCCATGCTGCGTAAGTTCAGAAGTTTTAAACTACAGCTGAGTAATATTAACAATTGGTTAGTCAACTTCCAATTTCTACTCCCTCTCTCCTTTTTTTGTCAATAAGCTTTACCTATTGTCACATAATGCAATTTTACTCAAATACATTTGGAAACACAAAATGTCCCTATTTAATGATTTGTACTCTAAAATGGAATGATTTACTAAGTCACAGATAAACACAAGTAAGTTTAAGTTGATGTTTTGTAAATCATGTTCTAAGCTTGAGTAAACTGATCAGCTCTTTTGTTACTTCTGTGGGGTAGGGAAATACAGTTTGAGTATTAAGTTGTTAAGTTAAAATACTGCATCCTCCCTTTAATGAGGAAGAGTGTTTTTAGCACACATTTCCCTTTGCTCTTAAAAGAGTTGTCTGCGATGCTATGATTGAACAATTGTAAATGCAACTAAAAACTTGTTAGATTAAGAGAAAGTGCCATCTAGTGATTTTAAAATCCCTGTTCTTTAGAGCGCTAATAAATTTGGCATCATTAGCCTTAGGAGGATCAGTGTGCTTACCGGTAACAATTAGGCACTTATTTTTAAAATGTCACCGTAGTTAGTTCTCTCTCTGTCTTTTAAACGTCCTAATTATTCAAGCAGCAATTCTTAAGGGCAGGGTTAGGAGGATATGCTAATTGCAATAAATCCTTTTTCAACGGTTTTCGAAGAAGCTCTATTCAGATACTAGTATATTTGCTTATTATTCACTTCTGCCAACACACAATTCTATAATTCTACATAGAATAGAAAGGAGAAATATTTCAAAAAGAACATTGTAATGAAGACTAAATAATTTTGTAAAGAAAGAAAATCCTTGAATCAATGTTATCATGCATTCATTCCTACCAATATATCCTGGATATATGAGTTACCTGGTTAGACAGGGAAATTAATCAAATACCCTGTGCTTTCAAGAAACTTACTACCAAGTCAGAAAGAGAACTACATACATAAATAGGAGACAAAAAAGACAACTCTGTAGACATCCACTCATTTAGTTCATTCCTGTGCTGCTTCTACATGGCTGTGTGTGTACACTGTCATATTTAATCTTCAAAAGAGATTTATAAAGTAGCTATTATTCTCTCTTGATGTATGAAAAAAGAAGAGTACAGCAAAGGAGTAAATTTAGTTGTTTCAAATAATACTGTTAATACATTTAAGAAGTGAAATTGGACCCTAATCTGTTTGTTTCTGCTAGTTGACGATTAGCCTAGTACTTATTTGACAAAATTAAGCAACAGAAGCATGAGTAAAACATATGGACTCCAGAGAAAGGAGTGGTGAATTATTTTTTCAGGTCAGTTGATAAATGGCACTTGTGTAGACAGAGGGCTGAAAGCAGTGGACTATAAAAGAAGGCTTAACAATTGGCATTGTCAGTAGCTGGTGTTGAAAGATTCCAGGGATCCTTGTCATTGATGGGCCTGGCTACCAAGGATTGGAGATGTCTTATATGTAAATAGTTCCCACTGCCATGTCCAGTTTGATTTCTACCATGTACAAGGGTAATTACATACAAGAGAAATTTTTGTTTGTTTTATGTTCAGACTTCTGTTCTGTGTAGCACCACTTTTGGAAGATAGATACTATAAATAAATGTCATGGAAAAACTGTAAACCTCACTGATTCCCTCTACTTTGCCTGTTAGAATCTCTAACATTTCCATTTTCCATATATCTTGGTGAAATAAAGTACAGCTGGTAGGTATAACTACTTGGCCACTGTAGGTGTTTAGTAAATGTTGAATAAATAAATGAATAATTTGATAGTGTACACCAAAGATAATATAGACAATGCAGTGGGACCTTTAGACTGGAGACTCAGTATGCACAGATTTTGTACCAAAAATGTAATCAAGTTTCACAGGCTGAAACTACTTACTCTAAATTAAAGAAACCATTACATTTCTTTTGAACAAACAAACCAATTAGCTCCTGCTCTATATTTGTAGCTTTGCGATAATGCATTTTAAATAAAACTCATTGAATGTGTTTTTATTGGTTATTTTTCTTGGTTTTAACACTCCATTGTGTGTAAAAGTCTCTTAGAAAATTGAAAATAAAAGTCTCCCTTTACTGATTTTGTCATTTTCCATTTGTCAAACATTGATTTTCTCCCCCTCTGTACATTTAATGGAGGTTGAAATTAGTGCTTTTTTGGTGTTGTTACTTCTTGTTTGTGTGCCGTCATGATCATTCATCAAGCTGCCAGCGAGCTCTGGGGATAGTGCTGGTGAGTTAACTAATGCTCCAGTCTGTACAAGGAAAATTTTAAGTAGAGTTTTTTTCTATAGCTTTTGCCTTTTGCCTTTATGGTTTCTTTAAAGGGAACATTTTGAATGTAGGGGATGCCCCCAAAATAAAAATAAAAATAAAAGAAAAGAAAAAAATGATTCAAGCTATTCCTTTCAGCTTTTTTTTGGGGGGGGGTGATATAAAATTTCCTAGTGATTCAAAGAAAAATACACAGAAGCTAAAGGAACCTACATATCTTCCCCTAAAATACACATGAGCCTAAGTTGTGATGCATTCAGACACTCTGTTCATCCTTGTGTGACATCAGAAGACACGTTCTGGTCAAACTTTGCTGTGACTTATGAGAAGCAAGTCATCAGAGGACAGCAGTCCAAAAGCAAGCATTATGCAGATTCACCAGTAGATGCTATGTGATTTAGGCATGTGCTTGCAAACACATATTTTTCTGTTTCTGTCTTAGATTAACTGTATTAACTATGAAATTCTGAGATTGACAATAAATACAAAAGAAGATACTTTCTCTTATGGGTAAGAATGTCAATTTCTGAGCTGGGCCAGAAATCAACTGCACTTGATTATGAGAAATGTGATGAATCTGTAAAGTGATACAAGAAAATAACATAGACCAGAAAATATGATATTCATTAAAAAGCAGAACAATTGGAAGCCAGCCCAGCTCCTGTGTGCATGCAGGGTGCCATCAGGACTTTCCCATGGGTCACCAGCATGGGTGGGCAGAAGAAACCAGCATAGCCTCCGTGTGCATGTGGGAACCATTGGGATTGTCCCTCTGGCAGGCAGTGCAAGCCAGGAGAACCAGCCAGCCATGCCTTGGAAAAGCCATGAGTGTCTGGAGAAGCCCACCCCACACCCACTGCCTCCAAGGGGACCTTGTGCTTGACCTTGTGCCTGACCCATCCTCCTACACTGTGGATAGGTAGCCAACATGGGAAGAGCCTGGGACCTCACAACCTGCTTGACCGAAGGGAATCAGGAAAATGTCAAGATGAAGGAGCAAAGACAATCTCTGGCCTCCATTCCAAACAGAACAAGTCCAGGAGACATGGACATAGAAGAAAGTGGAAGTCAGAAACCTGAAACTTGTGAGATGATGGCAATGAAGTAAAGAGACAACTTCATGAGACTGTAAAAGAAATCAGATCGGAAATACTACCTCAGGTAAAAGAAGAAATGAAAAACATAATAAAAGAGATTCTGAGCCTATCTAAAAAGATATAGATTTTAAAAAAAAATCTAAAAAAATATAGATTTAAAAAAAGGTAGGCATAGGAGAATGAGGGAAACTGTAAATGAACAATATGGAGAAGAACTGAAATGTGTGAAACAGACTCAAAGGGATATTCAGGAAATTAAAAACTATTGAAAACTGGCAACACTTTTGAAAGAAACTTAAGACAGACTTTCAGACCTTGAAGACAGGATGGCAGCAGTGATCGTGAAAGAAAAGATCTCTTAAAAATAACATGGAAGCAGGAAATAACAATTCAGTAATAAGATGGCACAAAGAAAAATAATTTAAGAATAATAGGTGTCAGTGAAAAAGCAAGAGTCAGCACAAATGATGTAAAGAGATTATTTACAGAAGTAATAGAAGAGTTCCCAAGCACAGGAAAAGGACCTGATACACAGATAAGTGAGTCATATAGAGCTGCAACTAGCCATAATCAAAATATCTACACCCAGGCATACACCCGGAAAGTCAGCATGAGAGCAGAATATTAAAGGCTATTAAAGAAAATAGACAGATCACTTATAAAGGAAAACCCATCAGAATCATGACAGGATTCTCAGTACAAACAATCAAGTCAAGAAGAGCTTGGATTGAAGTATTTCAAGTCCTAAAAGAAAACAACTTCCAACCCAGATTGATCTACCCTGCAAAACTATCTTTCAAAATTAATGGAGAGATAAGATACATCCATGAAAAAGAACAACTGAAGGAATTCATGGTCACCAAACCAACCCTACAGAGAGTACTGAAGGATATTCTAGAGAGAGATAAAAATTACCACAGTCTCAGGAACAGCAGCAGAGTGGCAAGGCAGACAGTTAAATGGAGGGGAACAGTAGGGAGTCAATGGCAGGCAAAAAGTATGGTAGATAAAATCAGTGCATGTTGGTTGTAATGATTAATGTAGATGGTCTCAGTTCACCGATAAAAAGAAACACAGGCATAGTGGGTCAAGAAACTAGATTCATCAATATGCGGTATACAAGAAACACATTTATTTGAAAGGAAATTCATAGACTGAGAGTGAAAGGAGAGAAAACCATGTTCCATGAGACAAGGAATCAGAAAAAACAGGAGTATCTTGCCCATTAATCGCAGAATGGACTAGAAAGATAGGACATTTTTATAAAGTGAAAAGCTACTCAGCTATAAAAAAGAATAACCACGAAGTTCTTGTAGGTAAACAGATGTAACTTGTGATCATACTCTTGGGTGAAATGGTTTGGACTCACAAGGATGAACATCATGTTTTCGCTCTAGCATAAAAACTGAAGGAGTCAGTGGGATCCAAAATGTACAATAGATACTGTGAAAGTGAAAATGGAGGAAATGTCTAGAACGGGAAGATAGTAGCCATTGATAAATCCCTATTATTTTGTTGTAAAGTCCTGTATCATTCTCATTGTTTTGTTTTGATTAGTTTTATTCTTGTTTTGTTTGGTTTGATTTTATTACATCTAATGGCATGGGCAGCTATTTCGAAGATGATAAAATATTATGGTAGCCATAAGATATTATTTATTTATTTAACCATCATATATGATAATATATAATACTTGATTTCTTATTATTTGTTTCAAAGTCCTGTATTGCTTCCACTGTTTTGTTTTATTTGATTTTATTAGGTCTGATGGTATGGGCAGCTACTTTGAAGACAAGAGGCATTGTGGCAGCCATTGTTGATTTCCTATTCTCTTGCTTTGAAATCCTGCATTGTTTTCACCGGTTTTTTTTTTTTTTTTTTTTTTTTTTTTATCGGTACCAGGGATCGAACTCATGACTGCCTGCTTGTCACCGTTTTGTTTTGATTAGCTTTATTCTGTTTTTTTGGTTTTATTCTCTTAAAAATAAAAAAAAAATTACAAATAGAACAATTGTGACTGCGTGCTTGTGATTTTCACATGTTGGCAGGGTGTATGTTTTCCTCTCTCTGGTTTGGTTCTCTTGGTGAAAATACTGAGCGCTCATTGCTTGCTCAGCCCCTAATAGAACTTTCAGTCCTTTATAGCACTTTCCAATAGCTTGTTTGCTCAGGGTAGAAATCATCTGCACTACCAAATGTGAGTGGTAAAATATGGGTAGTGTCGATGGAAAATGTGAATTTTAATTGTAATTAATTAAAATTAAGATTTAGATTTGGAGATACATGTGCCTATGGCCACTATATTGTGCTGTACAGTGAAATTACATTGATTAAAAGGATTATGCCAGTTTGACTTCTTAAATGAGTTTTTTTTGGAAAGGTTTGTTTTAGACCTTTTGGTTGACTTATGTAGACCATCCCTGCACTGTGTGCAGTGCTGGCTGTATAATGATACAGGACCTGGTCTGTGTCTTAGAGGAATTATTATTCAGTGTTTTCTCACAATTTACGTTGTTTCCTTAGAAGACTGAGTGGGCTAAAATGAATGAAATATTATTGCATATTTTTAAAAAATCTAAAATCTCGACAGAACTAATGTGATAGGAAACAGTGGCTTCACTGACTGAGATTTGATGACTAGAAGAATATATTAAATGATTTGTTTTGCTTTGATAATTTGTACTTTTTAGAGGCATGACTGAGGTAAAATGCATACATGATTTTGACACTTCAGGCTTGGCATGAATCTTCAAGTATTAACAAATTTTGTATCTTCAAGTATTAACAAATTTTTAAAAACTGACTGATTTGAAGCAGGCTGATTTTGGAAGCAAGGCCTGTGTTTGAATCCTGCTTTCCACCTTTGTGCCCTGAGCAGGTCATCTACTGCCTCCATATAGCAACTTATTTATTTTATGTCTGAATGGGAACATTAGCAACTTTTTCTTAGTGAAAAAGAAAAAGTGAAAAGAAAAGTGAGACATTATAAATAAATCAATGATAAAAACTAATGTTTAATGACATTGAGTGCTCCTTTGGTACCAGGCACAGCTTTAGGCAGGTGACATGCGTCAATTTGTTTAATGTTCCTATCAACATCATGAAGGTGCTATTGCACTCCCATCTTAAGGTATATGGGGATGTATGTTTTTCAGCATACAGTGAGCACTCAGTGGTTGTTTTGTTGTTTTACCATCATCCTTCTTCTTACTGGTGGTTTCCTGTCATTAATGATTTATTTATGCAGAGCTACTTAAACATTAAATTATAAAATGTTAATTCATTTTTATTGTCCAAATAGATATTATTCATTTGCCAATGTCTTTTCTCAAATCTCACTTACTATGATTTGTCCTCCTCTTATGAACTTGAGTCTGGGCTGGATTAATAGCATATCACAAAGGTAGATGATATCACACACGATGTCTATAATAAGCCAGTAGCATGTGTTGTCTGGTGTTTGATAGGGAAAGACCACTCGCAGTGGTATCAGCCAGCAATTCCAGTTATAGGCAATGGTGACGAGCAAGAGCCACAGGAGATAGAACTGATCTGGAAAAACAGCAACTAGTGTCATCTAAATGCCATGGAACAAACATGACAAAAAGTCTCTTGGTTTATATGGTCAAGTTGAGACTCCACCTTGTGGATATACACAGTTTGTAACAGGGACTCGCATAAACATTCAACACAATTCTGCTTCCAGAGTGGGAAGCTCTGTGCTATTAAGGGATAGAAAGTGATCCGTCTTATCAGCTCTGCAAGAGTGGCCAGTTTCCTTCTGGCTCCTGGCCACACGGAATCTGTCCCAATGTGTAACTGCACCATTTTGATTGAGGCACATGGAGACCCAAGAAAATTCTAGGGGACCTTACTGAGACCTCACTGTAGTGCCAGGTTTCTACTTTTTCAGGAATTAAACCACAGGCTTGCCCAGGGCAGAGAAAGAAAGGCAAATTGTGTCCAGTGTTCAGTGGGAGAGCACAGAACCAGCCCATTACAGAGTCCACGTCCCTAAACAGCCTTCCTCTGCCATAGGATTCCCAGAGAGGGAATTCGTTTGATTAGAATAATTAGCATGTGAAGCTATGGAGTAAGATGGACACTTTATAATGATTTTTCTTTGCTCATCATTATGCATATTGCTGAGTGCTTTGGGGCCTTCTTTAGAAAGGTAATTAGGGACAGGACAAGCCTCGGACTGTTTTTTAAAAATAGGCAGGGATATTTTCTCTCTTGTCATTACCAAGAGGAGAAACAATCTTTTGCAGATTATATAGTTAAAGTTACACTTTTTTTTGACTGATTCAGAACATGGGCTAGGGAAAACAGTTTATCTCTAACTTTGGGTTGCAAGGGTTTTAGGTGAAAGCCAGCCCTCCCTGTGGAACGTCCTTTGCTGGTACCTGTGTGTGAATCTATGCTTCTTGGAAGTCTCATTCTCTTTAGATATTCTGTCAGAGGCTTCTTCTGGAACTGCCAACACAGTATGCCATAGTAGTGCTCTGCTTTTAGATTAGAATTGCTTTCTTGTGTTGCTGGTGCAGTTGTGGGCTTTGCTTTAAAGGAAAAAAAAAAAGAGGGAACACTTTAATCCGTTAACACGTTAGTTTGATGGAGGCACAAATTTGAAAATGTTTTCCTTCTTAATACAGGCAGATGAGTCAAAACAAGAGATGTTTAAAATAGTGGTATTTATTTCATAATATATATCAAAATATTGTACACCTTAACTATATGCTGTGTCATATATTAAAATATCTAAGTAAAAATGCACAGGAATTTGAGAAATATACAAATTTAAAACTCATTAATAGGTGTCACAAAACAAATATATGCCATATGCTAGGTTTAAGTTTTATATTGAAATACATTCTTCACATATATCCTTCAAGTCCTGATAGATAGAACTCAACATTTTCTTTCCAATATATCTTTATCAACCTATGATTTATTAAGGCTTATCTCTTTAAAACTAAACTGTTATGTAATACCTAGTTCATTCTGAAATCACAATTTTCTTTTATAGAACTATAAGGAAACCCTCAACTAGCCCACTTGATTTGGTCATATCTGTTATTAAACAATTACATTTTCTTCTCTTATTTTTATACTTATTTGGTGGTCCTGGGGATTGAAATCAGGACTTTGTGCATGCTAGGCAAGCACACCACCGCTGAGCCACATCCCCAGACTCTTCTCTTATTTTTATGCATACACACTTTACATAGATGTGATCAGAGAACATACAACTTTTGTGCTCTACTTATTCTTCTTATTTTTCATAAATACCTACGTGTAATTATTAGAAAGGTAGATGTTTCTTCTGTTATGTAATTGCCTTTGATGTCCTTTGCTCAGCTGAATACTCAGGTAGCATTCTTGTATTTTCATGATTTACATCATGCATATTATAGATACTTTTAATTAATGTCTATAGTAAAACTTACTATGGAAGATTTGTGGGTGGTCCATATGTATAGCCTGGGTGTGAAGACTATCTGTAAAGGGCTTCCTGTGTTTCTCTGTCTGAGTTTTCTAGAACAAGTTGCCTAAAATGCTGGGCAGATAACAACGTGGCTCAGTAGCAACCAGTTGTATCTCCTTTTATTAGAATAATTCTTAGGTTTGGTCCATACAATTTTCCTATTAGATCAAGCCCCAAGCCCCAAGCCCCCCTCATGCTTGTGACACTCTTATTAATTAATTAACTAATTAATTATTTTGGTACCAGGAGTCAAACTCAAGATCTAGTGCTTGCCAAGCAGGCACTTGTGCTACTGAGCTAAATCCTTGGCTACTCTTTTATTAATGCATCCTTGTCTAACACCCTTATGTGTTGTTCATGTCACTCTTACCTTCTTGGGTCACTGTCAGAATGAACTATTCATATCTAATCATTGTCTGAAGATCTATTCTGGGGAGACCCAAACTGAGTAATTTGAAAAATATGTGACTTTTCCTAATTCTCTTTTTCTCACTGTTTCATGGGAACAATTCCTACCGGCGTGTGGGCTGGCTTCCGGCGAGGATATTTCTCCCTCTTTCAGCTTTTCCTTGTAGAGGGCTGTTCTCTGACGCATTTTTGTCACAATGTTGTGGAGTGTGGCATCAGCATTCTCATTTATAACAGGGACTCCAAGTGGGCTAAAGGAGGGGGAAAAAGTGGAGGTAGGAATGGGTCAATAGGGAGATACCTCTAGGAGACAGTTTATTTCTTTCTTTTTTTTAAAATTTTATTTAAGGAGAAAAAGAAAAGAAAAAAAAGCAGAGAAAGGGTACAAGTTATACAGATTTACAGAAAAAAATAAACAGTAGGAAATCACTAGTTAATGGATTACATTTTGGCATCCCCCTGTTCAAGTTACAAAATTAAAGCATATAAAGTGGACATTCCAACAGTGAGACTGCAAACAGTTCTGTTCAATGATCCAACAAAACTCAGTAATATCATTATCTATCTTATACACTTAAATATACATGCAGTTATATCATTTAGAGCACTTTCTTTTCCTCTCTTTTGTACAATGACAATTATACATATTGGGTTTTGTTGCTCCCACAGCTCTTATTTCTTTTTTGGAAGAGAGTAGAACCAAATGTGACATAACAGAACAGTCAGTCAAATCAAAAGGGTGGACGTAATAGATAATGTAAAATCATAATAAGAGGTTACCATAATGCCTCCCGCTATCTCTAATAGAATTGCCTATATCATTAGTTATAATAAAATTGAACAAAACAGTAAAGAACAAAACCAACAAAACCACAACATTGGAGACATTATAGGTCTTCAAAAGTAGATAATAGTCAACCAGAATGGGCGTCATAATGAATCCCACTATCTTCACAGCTGTCGCCTAAATTTTCGAGCCTGGTACTATCAAGCAAAACAGAATAGAGGAACATCGGTCAAAACAAGATAGTGAGAGCAATACAGGGCTTTAAATCAAGATAATGGAAAGTCAAAGTGGGTTACTATACTATATCCTATTTTTAAATTTATTTTTCCCTTAATTAAAAGGATAAAAAAGTAAATAATAAAATGGAGATTGAGATAAAAGAGGGCATAACAGCAAATCAGCACAGATCAAAACATAACCGTTTAAGCAAAATAGTGTTTCACCACAAGATTATCCCAACATAAAAGTAGTTAACATATTGTCTCTTTCCTTGAAATCTTTGAGCATAACTTCATATACTGTAGTATCAAATATATCAAAACAATGTAAAACCATTCAAGAGAATGACAGTATTACAGGGTATTTAGAATCAACTAACAGAAAATAAACAATGGTTTCTGTATAATCTCCTTGTCTATAAAAGATTTTGCTTGTAGTATCATATATAATAAAATCCAATAAGATACCACCTGTTTAGACCAATGGAGACAGAAGAACAAAAGCTTGATGAGACTTCAAAACAAGATGATACTAAATCAGTATTACCTCTTAAGACATCATTTTCTCCAAAATAGCTGTTCCTATCATCCAATCTTCTCTGCCTCATTTCTGTTGAGCTCTTTTTCTGTCATTAGTTGTCAGTTTGTCTTCTTTATTTTATTTTCTGCTCCATTAATTGTAGCCTCTCTTCTGCTACTTCTGGATTCTTTGTATTTTTCTTTTTTAGGATATCTTGCAGTATTCTCTGTAGAGTTGAATTGGTGGTTGCATATTCCCCTAGTTCCTCTTTATCCTGGAAGCACCTTGTTTTTCCATCAATTTCCAGGGATAGTTGTGCAGGATATATCAGTCTTGGCTGGAGATTATTATCTTTCAAAGCTTGAATTATTTCCCCCCACGCTCTTCATGATTTGATGGTTTGTGCCGAGAAGTCTGCTGTAATTCTGATGGGTGTTCCCTTGTAAGTGATCTGTTTCTTGTCTCTGACGGCTTTTAGTATTCTGTTCTTGTATTGGATTTCTGGAATTTTAATTATTATATGCCTGGGTGTAGTTCTGTTTGGGTTGTAGGTGGCTGGGGTCCTGTATGCTTTGTACAACTGAGTATCTTTACCTTTTGCTAGATTAGGAAAATTCTCCTGGGTTATTTCTGTGAGTAGCTTTTGTAGTTCATTTGTTTGTATCCCTACTTCTTCTTTTATGTTCTTAATTCTTAAGTTATAGACCCTCTTGTCATCTTCTAGTCTTTGTATTATTGCTGTTTGTTTCTTTGTTATTTTTAAGAAGTTTTTCATTTCATGCTCCCATATTACAAATCTGCCCTCCAGTTCAGATAATCTGTCCTTAGTTTCTTTCAAGCTGTTATGCCAGTTTTCAATAGACTTTTTAGTTTCCTGGTATTCTTTTTGAACCTGCTTCACGTATTCTATGCTTTCTCTATTTTCTCCATTAAACAATTCTCCCCTCTTTTTCTGTTCTTCCATTCCACCATCTGTTTTTTCTTGGGTGGTGCTTAGCATTTCTCTAACTATTCTGCTGATGTCTAGCTTCAGGTCATTAATAACTTCATTCCTGAACTTGTCTATGAGGGTCTCGAGATAGCGCTTTATGTCTATTGGTGCTGTGTCTGCTGTTGCCTCTTTCTCAGGATTAGGGGCCGAGGACCCTTTCTTGTTGATGCCTCTTCCCATATTCTTTGTTCCTTATATATGCAAGCACATATAGGAGGCCCAGCTTCCTTCCCTGTCAGCCACAGTCTTATTGAATTGCAATCAGGTGTTCCCGCCCACTGCAGCACAACAGGGAGTTACAGACCAGACAGCCTAGGCGGGGCCCACCCCTTCAGGTCACCTTCAGGAGCTGGGACCTGGGCTGTGCTAGCCTACTGGGTCTCAGCCACCAGTGTCATGTGGGCTAGGCACTGTTCACCAATCCTGCTTGAGAGGTGGATTGGTGACTGAAGTCACTGCAGCACCCTGTTCCCGTAAGTCTGCCAGGTTCCAGAATGTCCTCTGTTGGAGTCTCCTAGACCGTGGTGAAGAGACCCAGTTTTCCCTCACTCACCGGAGGTGGATGCACCGCTCCCCGCCCGTCCCACTCTCAACTCCATTCACCAATTCCGATTCTCAGAGCTTCTGCGCGTCTCTCTCCCTGCCAAGCTGATGCAGATGCAGGGGTGGCGGTGGGAAACCCAAATCTTGGCTTCCAATGGCGTGGGCTCCAGCTTCCACACTGAGGCTTTATCTGTTCCTGTTATAGCACCAGGATTGCATTCCCAGTTGGTTTCTCTCAGCCCAGTTCGTTATTGGATCACCGGGGCATATCTCCTCTTGCTTATGATTCCTTACTCAGCACCATTCCTGAATTCTAAGCTGGGTGTTTCAGAGAGCCTCCGTAGCTGCTGCTATCTGTCCGCCAAGTTCTCCCGGAAGTCCCGAGACAGTTTATTTCTCACCTTCTTTATACAATCAAGATTATTAACTTCCACTTGTTGCAATTTCAGAGAACAATTCAAACATGAAAATTTAATCAAAAACGTTACAGTAGACTATAGATTTGTTTGTTTGAAAAACGATTATTCTTGACAATATTGGATTGTGAGGGCCATGGTTGTGTCATTAAGTTGTACTACTAGAAGTTCCTAGGGTTGTATGACTAAGATCCCTATTTTTTTGTTATCAATTAGCTCTTGACTTGTTAGGGGCCTTAGTAGTTTTTACCAGGCTGAGATAATTCCTTGGCTAACTGATAGGAAGAAAATAAGGATCACAGTCTGTATACCGCAGGAACTGACTTTTTGCTAATATCCTGAATTAATATGCAAAGTAAATCCCTCTCCAGAAACTACAAATAAAAGTTTAGGCTGACTGGCACCTTGATTTCAGTCTTGTGGGACTTTAAGCAGAGAACCCAGCCAAGTCCACCTAGAGTTCTGATGTATGCAACTGTGAGCTAATCAATAGGAGCCTATTTTAAAACCCTGAGTTAGTGGTAATTTATTACAGAGCAATAGACAAGTAATACAAGTAGATTTTAATAACTTTTCCTTGTGGAAAAGCACGCAAGCAGACTAGCTCAGGGTATAGGATATAAACTTGTTTATTTCATAAACATCTGAATTTTCTTCAGTTTCCCTCAGAGCTCTCACTGTCTTTCTTCTTTCTGATATTTGAACCTTGGTCTACATGGGCCGATATATGCTGCTTTCATTTTCATTTCGTCACAATCTTAAATTGATACCCTTCCAACCTATTGCTTCACTTCCATGGGACTCACGATGGAACTGAGTAACATATAACTTTCAATTAAGAGCACTGTACTGTAACCCCCATTTGTGAACCCATTCTCTTCTTGGTCTTTGAATATATCACATCTACAACTGTTTACAGATCACTAGACTATTGATGTTTTTTTCTCTTCTATTTTTATTATTATAACTTATACCTCTTTAAAAGGTAAAAGTGCAGGTTCAGTATCAGAGATTTTTCATTTAGTCACATTTATAAGCCTGTTTAAGAAGATCGAAGACTTGGCTGTAATGCAAGAAAGATTCATCTAAGTCAATACAGAAATAGGTGGACACTAGGTTCATAAAAGCAGTAATTTTTTCTGTAAGAATTATCATAGATAAAGTGGCTGAGTCTGTTTGTAGTTGTTTCTGCATTTTCTGATGTATTCTATTGATCTTTGAATTGGTTTTTTAAAAATTTCCCCTGGACCATGTCATTTTTATCACAGTAGCTTTGTAGCATGATTTCAAGTCAGGGATTGTAATGCCTCATGCCTTGCCTCCTAGTTGTTTTTGCTAGTCTAGGTATCTTCTGGTTCCAAACAAATTTTAAGATTGTGTTTTCTAATTCTGTGACATATGCTGTTTGTATTTTGATTGGGCTTGCATTAAGTCTGTGGAAAATTTTGGGAATATGATCATTTTCACTATGTTGATACTTCCTACCCCAGAGCAAGAGATAATTTCCACCTTCTGATTTCTCTTTGATTCCTTTTTGAGAGTATTGTAGTTTTCAATGTAAAAGTCTTTTATTTCCTTTGTTAGGTTACTGGCTCATTTTTTTTTAATGCTATAATGAAAGATGTGGTTCCTATAATTATTTTCTCAGTGAGTTTGTGATTTTTGTACAAGAATACTATTGATTTTTGAGTGATTATTTTGTATCCAGCTATGCTACTGAATTTGGTTATTAAATCTAGAAATCTTCAAAATCTTCTATGTAGAGCATCATGTCAT